GGAGATGAGGAAGAGCTTGGAAAGAAATGGGAGTGGAGTGGCAGAAATATTAGGAGAAAAATCAAATCAGGGTAGTGTATTGGGGGTCGACAGAAAAAAGTTTTCAAGAGACAAGGGAGGGGTCAGCTGGGTATTAAGACTGATGGAACAAGGATGTGAGGAATTAGCAACAAGGAGGCCAGGGGTGATCTGGGCAAGAATGGAGGGAGCAGAACCCCTGAGGGGGTGGGTTCAATAGAGAATGAGAGGAGAGGAATTAGAGACAAGGAGCGTGGTTAACTCTTTCAAGGAGTTTTGCTGTATATACAGGAGCATTGATATGGGATTCTAACTAGAGCAAAACAGGGAGTCAAGGCCACGGTGTTTTGTTTTGCCTTTTTTTTTTTTTTTCTTTTTAAAAAAGATTTACTTATTCATTCGAAGGGCAGAGTTACAGAGCAGCAGAAGCAGAGAGAGGTCTTCCGTCTGCTGGTTCACTCCCCAAATGGCCTCAACGGCTAGAGCTGGGCCGATCCGAAGCCAGGAACCAGGAGCTTCTTCTGGGTCTCCCACGTGATTGCAGGGGCCCACGCACTTGGGCCATCTTCCACTGCTTTTCCTGGCCACAGCAGAGAGCTGGATTGGAAGCAGAGCAGCTGGGTCTCTAACTGGTGCCCATATGGGATGCTAGCACTGCAGGTGGCAGCTTCACCTGCTATGCCACAGTGCCAGCCCTTTTTTAAAAAAAATTTATTTAAAGATTTATTTATTTGAAAGAGTTACAGAGAGAGGTAGAGATAGAGATCTTCCATCTGCTGCTTCACTGCCCAAATGGCCATAATGGCCAGGGCTAGGCCAGGCCAAAGCCAGGAGCCAGGAGCTTCCCCTGGGTCCCCCATGTGGGTGCAGGGACTCAAGGACCTATGACATCCTCCGTTGCTTTCCCAGGTGCACCAGTAGGGAGCTGTATCAGAAGTGGAGCAGCCAGTATCAGAAATGGTGTCCTTATGGGGTGGTGGTGCCGCAGGTGGCAGCTTAACCCACTATGCCACAACACCAGCCCCAGTTTTGCTTTTTTAAGACAGAAGTAGTGGGCTGGCACTGTGGCATGGCCTTTAAAGCTGCTGCCTCTGATGCTGACATCCCATGTGGGCGATGGTTTGAGTCCCAGCTGCTCCACTTCTGATCCAGCTCTCTGCTAATGGCCTGAGAAAGGCAGAATATGGCCCAAGTGTTTGGGCCCCTGCACCCACATTGGAGACCTGGAAGAAACTCTTGGCTTTGGTTTGGCTTAGTCCTGTCCATTGTGGACATCTGGGGAGTGGACAAGCAGATGGAAGATATTTCTGCTTCTGTCTCTCCTTCCCTCTGTGTAACTGCCTTTCAAAAAATTTTTTTTTTTTCAAAAAAAGAAGGAACAAAATGATCCAGTAATAATGAAGAAGACATTGATACTTCCTGAGAGTACACAGAGAATTGCTAGATGGATGACCCTGAGAGGGTAAAAGGGATGCAGACAAGACGGGTGATGGTTGTGATGTTGAGGCCTAAAGGACTGATTCCTTACGTGGAAGTTAGGAAGGGCAGATGAAAACCAGTAAAACTTATCATATAGAAACCTTCGTTACTGGACTGCTGTCAGCTTGGTGTAGTACGGAAGAGGAGAGATAGAATCTTCTGGGTAAGGTGACATTTTAAACTGTCTTTGAATGACAATTATCTGTGCTATTCTAGTCCCTTATCAAAATTTATGATTGAGCACAGGCTATAAACGTGATAGTTGAAATTTGTAGTAGGGTGAATTAAATTTTAGCCGAATCTAAAACATGATCTTGTGTTAAACTTTTTCTCTGCAAAACTTTATTGTTTAATATAGATTCTTTATATGCAAAGGTCTTAGGTGTTTTACAACAGGAACTTAGGTAGTTATTGACCATCTTTTATTTACTTAAAATATTTTGAATTTTACAACCATATCAGAAATCTGAATGGTTTGATTCTTTACCAGCTCTGATTAAAGCAACTGCCTGTGAGGTGAATAATTGTAGTTTGCCAGAAATTGTGTGACATTATGTTAGCAAGATAATACCATCTCTTTTGAAAACCAACCCGCTTTAATTTATTCTAACTTATGTGTTTTGAAAGTATTTTTCAGTAACAAATCTGTATTGAAAAAATTAAGCAAATATGGTTAAAATTTTGAGCTGCCTTGGTTATAAATGTGAAATGTATACGAAAAACAAAATAAGTGGGCTTTCAATCAGTTTAACATGAGGAAATCATGCTTGCGTTAAATACTTTCTGCATTTGAGTAGTATAAAAAGTAAAATTTGATATATAATTCTGCTGCTCAGCCTCATTAAATTATAGGAATAAAATATTCACTTTTCTTTATCAATTTCCAGTGCTAGTCAGTAATCCCTTCAGAAGAAGCCCACTGGCAGCTCTGATGCACAGTTTCAGAATCACTTTTCTAAAAAAGATTTACTCTTTTTGGGTGTCAACCTCTGTGCAAACTGTGGCTGTGCTCAAACGTACAAATTTTAGCATCTGGTGTCCTCGGGTTGGCCACTTTGTGAAGCACCCTCATGGAGGTCCCCTGGACTTAAAGGATTCTAGGTTTTCAAATCTGCCCTAGATAGCTTATTTGAATGCGTTTTTGTTTTAAACTTTATACACAGATTTTTGAAAACATATTTCTCCAATGTTTCTGTAGTTTATGTACTCTTCTAAAAGAAGAGTACTGGGTACTGACACTGGGTAAGACAAAGTGAAGGCTGGCAGAGGAATCTCAGGGTCTGCAAGCTGTCCTCTGAGGTCTCTGCCTACTGGCCTGGTGACCTTTGAGGGAGTCATTTAACTTCTTGGGATTCGGGTTCCTGTGTGGTTTCTGCAGTCCTTACAGGCAGTTTTAAGAGCAGTTCCAAGAGGTCATGTTTTCATGATCTCTTGGTAAAATTCTTTCAATCTAAGATTGACTCTGCTACTGATTTTTGGAGGAAATGCCCTGGGATATGGTATGCATACCCAGTGCTGCCTTTTTTGATGAATATGACTTAATAGGAGTTCATGTGATTTTATTTTCTCATATGCCTTAAAAGTAGAAGGTAAAAATCCCAGTTCCATCCTGATCACTTTGTTTCAAACTATTTTATAGGTTCTGGATATAAGCATTTGTTTTTACATATATATACATATATATATGTATATATTAATTGTCATCTCAGATTTTGTGGCTTGCTTTTCCACATTCTCAGTGGTATTTTTTTTTTTAGGATGAAGAAAAGGTCTTAATTATAGTTTAATTTATCAGTTGTTTTCCTTTTACTGTATTTTAAACGGGCAGTATTTTAATTCCTAATCAACAGTTTGGATAAAAACAGTTTTAGAAAATTATTCATTTAAGGAATAATGCTGTGGGAGATCAATGCTTAAGAAATTATCCCTAGATAACAAAAAAAAGGTAGTAGGGAAGATAAACCTGTAACAGAGAGTTTACATGTCTGTCCAGTCCAGTCAGTGCATTGGTTTAACACTCACTGAACATTTACTGTGTGCCTGGTCCTGTTTTGCGGGTCTTTTGAGTTGGTGCAGGGTCCTGTAGGTATCTGTAGTCTTAAGAATCCACTTTTGACCTAACTGCATTGCACATTTTCTCATGATTTTTCTTTTGGTTTGAGGTCATTCTAATCTAGGTGATTAGAATTATCATTTAGGTGGGCTTGAGAATTTTAAAAGGGACTCCTGCTAAAGAGGCAGGATAGAACAGCAAATTGAATTTCTTTTAGCTGTATGAATTGGGGACCTTTTAAATAATGTTACTGTATGTGTGGCCTGACTGTCCATGATTAAACAAAGATTATAATCGGAGTGACATAAAGATCTGTTGTATCCCCTAAAGAGATGAGACCCTATGGGAGTAACATCCTATAGTGTTTACAGCATGAGAGGAAAGAGCCATGGCACGTGGAGTTTAAGTAATTTCATATGAAATGTTAGGGGCAAATTAATTTTTTTCTCAAGATTTTATTTATTTGAGAGGTAGAGTTACAGACAGTGAGAGGAAGAGACAAAGGTCTTCCTTTTGTTGGTTCACTCCCCAAATGGCCACAACTGCTGGAGCTCCGCTGATCCGAAGCCAGGAGCCAGGAGTTTCCTCCAGGTCTCCCACGTGGGTGCAGAGGCCCAAGCACTTGGGCCATCTTCTACTGCTTTCCCAGGTGATAGCAAAGAGCTGGATTGGAAGAGGAGCAGCTGGGACTAGAACTGGCACCCATATGGAATGCTGGCACTGCAGGCGGAGGATTAACCTACTGCGCCAGAGCGCTGGCCCCTGATTAATTTTTATTTTCTAATATTGCATGAGGGTATCAAAACCTTGATTTTCTTTGTGGGTTTATCACTGGTCAGAAATGTGGCATAGGAAAAGAATCACTCTTGTCTGTGTGATTTACAGTTTAAAGTGGTGAGACACATGTCAGAAAGTGAATGAAGAATCTAATTAAAATTCTGACTGTACATTGTTTATTTACGTGTATAGTTGTATTTCATATATTATATCGTGCTCTGAATTTTAAAGACTAATGTAAGGCAAATCTATTTCAAGATTACTTGAAAGAAGGTCTTTTAAGTGGCCCAAACTAAAGACTGATGAGGTTTTGATTTGTTAATATAGAACAAGAAATAGTGAAGGTCATTGTTGCGGAGGAGGGTGTACTTGTATGTTATTGAGATGAGTTGCATTTGTTTTCTTTCTGTGTCTTAAGAAAGGGAAACTTTTCCTTGTCTTGAAAACCCATGGTAAAGAGGAGAGTTAATGAGCTTGAGTTCTTTCTTTGCTGTAAAAACTACTACCTGTTTCTTCCCTTCCTCCCCCTCCCTTTGGGTTTTAAAATTTTGGAGACTTGTATATGTTGCTTTCCGCTAAAGTCAGGTAGAAATTTTTAAGTCGCCAACTTTTGATGCCATCTCCTAAACCTGTATTTGTAGTCTAATTTCATTTCCCCCTTCTTCTGTTACAGGGGGATAGAGAGCTGGAGAGCCACTTTCCCCAAAATTGGTAAGTGTCTTTACTAGGCAGGCATAGAGTGCCTAATGCTGGATAATAATTCAAATATTTAGTGCTTTTTTTTTTTCCTTTTGCGAAAAAGCTTTCTTGCAGAAATGAGGCCTTGATGTTTACACTGAAGTGAAAGTGAATTTTTGTCTAGTTTCACCTAGCCATATCAAATGCATTTGTTTCTCTAATAATACTGCTAGGCTTGCATGTTCCTCATTTGATAACCTGTTAAAATATGAAGGTACCCCTTGCCAAAAATGTTCTTAATGCAGTGGTTAGGGTTGAGAATTCAAAAGTCAGGAAATTCAAAAGTTAAGATTCCCATTGTGTTTTATATTACTTAGTATGCTGTTAAATATGATGGCCTTAGTGTATGTGTGAAATTGCTAGGATAATAACTATGGGGACTTTGAATTTGAAATTTGGGATTCAGAAGCAGTTATATTCTTAATATTGGATTGGCTTCATGTCTGACACTGTTTTTAGCGTGTGATGTTCTATATAATTCTTACAGAGGAAAAACTAAGAGAGAGAGACGTGACGTATGAGGGCATATATACAAATACAGTTTTTCCCAGTATTTCATAGATTTTTAACAGCTTATAAATCATCACACTTAATCATTTCTTTGAATGTCTAATTCAAGATCACAGATTGCACAAGGCAGTCTAGTGATTAAGCATCAAATAAATATTAACTTTATTTGGGGAGTGTATGTTATGAAAAAAAAGCAAAACAAGATAGCTGGAATAGGGCAGTCCCTTACTGCAAGGGTGCTACTGTTTTTTTAATCCTCTCTCTCAAATAGTAATTAACTTAGTGGGTGGGTTAGATACAGTAGATATTTTGTTAAGACTTCTTTTTGGTCATTTATGGGCCTTGAGGTATGTCTCATATGTTTTAGGGATTGGGCTCTGAGCAGGAAAGGGGGCACTTGAACCAGTTAACCTTGCCTTTTAGTACCTTTTCATTCTACTTGTCTTTCCCTCATGGAACCTTTAAAATAAATAATGAGAATCCTGTAACCTCTGCTTTGAGATGCAATAGAGGCACAGAGACTTAGAGAAGGGAACTTAAGGACCTTCCCTTCCAGCCTTCTACCCTTGTGGCATATCTCCAGCATCCCTGACAGATTGTGATTCAGGCACACACTGGATACTACATTAAAAAAATATACTCCTGGTTTTCTGTAATGTGTTCTGAGGAACTGTAGTTCCACAGAAACTGAATAAATTTTATCGAGGTGGGGGTGGGGGGTGGGAAGGTGTTCTGTGGTCAAATAATTTGGGAAATGCTGCATTAAAAAGTTAAACAGGTTTCTTTACTGCAGGACTTCTCAGAACCTTTAATATGCTAATGTGCATTGTGAATCTCCGAGAGGGGGATATGATATGCAGCACTCTTGAATACTTCTAATGACAGGGAGCCCACTACCTCATAAGGTAACCCATTCCTTTTTTGTACAGCTCTAACGCTTAGTTTTTCTTTATACTTAGTTTTTCTTTATATTGATCTGAACCTATCTTCCATAATTTCTACTTTCATTAAGTATTTATGGGTTATGTTGAGACTACCACCCTCTTATGTTATTCTTTGTGTGGTGTATAATTTTAAGATCTGAGCAGGCTTGTGTGGACAGCTAGCTCCCTCCCTCCCTCCCTCCCTTCCCTCCTTCCTTCCTCCCTCCCTCCCTCCCTCCCTCCCTCCCTTCCTCCCTTCCTCCTTCCCTCCTTCCTTCCTCCCTCCCTCCCTTCCTCTTTCCTCCTTCCTCCTTCCTTCCTCCCTCCCTCCCTCCTTCCTCCCTCCCTTCCTTCCTTCCTTCCTTCCTTCCCTCCTTCCTTCCTTCCTTCCGTCCATCCGTCAGTCCGTCCGTCCATCCTTTTCAAATAGCATTCTGGTAAATATGGCAGCCAATTCTAAAATCTTAACCTCATCGTCGTTATGCTTTTATACACTGCTCTCTAACTTATTTCATTTTGAATTTTTGTGAATTCAAGTTTTTGTCAGTGCTCCTGTTATTTTGTATGGTTGAGATGATTTCAGTAGACATGCTTCAGTTCTGTAAGGAAAGATGGGAGACCCAAGAATGTGAGTGTGCAGCCAGGCTGGGCCACAGGAAGTGGGCAGCTGCAGGTGGACGCTGGGACAGGCTGGCAGGCAGAGTGCAGGGCACTGCTGCGGACCTGAGGAGCTGGCAGCACGGAAGGGAAAGCCATGCCATAGGAGCCCTCAGGTGCAGGGGCTGTGACCGTCAGCTATCCCTGTGTTGTAAAATGAGGACCTGTTCCCTTCCTGCCCCCCCAAAACATAATAATTAGGAACTATCATTTAATAGGAAACAGTTAACTATTGAATTTAATAGTTTGGAAGCAACTGACTAAGGTGATTTTTGTCTGTGGCTGCCCGCAGATAACCTTGCTGGATTCTAAGGGCGGCCTCTGACATCAGGGTTACCAGACTTCCTGTGCCAGTAGCAATTGCTGTTGACCAGGGTGTGTAGGGGTCCCCAAGGAACTACCACCATGAAAATAGATTAAAACATGTTGACAATTTTTTGCTAAATGATAAGAAAGCAAATGTTTTAAATTCTTTTCTCACTTTTTTATTGATTCGTGTTAATAAATATTAATGCTTTCAGTAAATACTATTAAAAGACCTTTAGTTTTAGCACCCATGATACTTTTTAGCACTAATAATTGAGTTAATAAAGATATTATCTCCCAGCCTATTATACATATACTAAGAAATGAGTGTTTTGCACAAATTAAAACTTGATATTTGAATATTAGGTGCCTAGGATATGAAGTTAGGATACATAGAGCTGTCAAGACTTTCTACTGTTTCCCATTTTAAAAAATTAAGCCTACTTGAAACACTATGTCTGAGAATATAGATAAAAAGCAGAGGAATTTTACACCAAACAAATACCTGGTACAGAGAACACAAAATGACCCTGGTTAGGGACTCCTGGGGGCATACTGTGTCATGACTTACTGTTAGTTAAAATAACTGTTGATGGGGAAGTCCAGTTTTGATTGAACAAAGATTTATGTCAATTCAGTAACAGGGGAAAATATTTCTTAGTGGTAAAACCAGAGTTCTGGCTTTCCTGCAAGTTGCTGGGGTCATAACCAAGTATCTAGAGGTCATGTACCTCTAAGCAGAACTCTTCTCAGAAAATCAGACTCTTCATGGAGAATTCAAGAATTGAAATGCCTACAATCTTCCACAAGTATGCTATGTCAAGTTTTATAAAAACGGTTGTGAGTATGAAGAAAAGAATTCAGTGTGTTGAGGATAGCAGGAAGCTTCATAGTTTTCAAAGGGCTTTTCATTTAAGTTTACCTTGCATAATAATCTTACCAAGTAGGGGATTTTGTTCCCATTTTTCTGGTTTACAAGCAAACGTACCCTTAGTATGAGAGTAGTTAGTCACACAGTGAGTAAGTAGGATTTGTTCTTTTTGTTTTTGTTTTTTGGGATGATGAATATTTTTTCTAGATATCACAGCTACCTTCTACAGTGAGATTTGATTTTGTGTCTGTTTGGTTTGTTGGAGGGTTTATTTGTTCATGTATTTGGTTTATGTTTTGTTTTTGTTGTTTGAGGATGAGAGGCCAGTAGGCATCTGGGTAGGGTGACATCTCCAGCTTCGCAGATTGCAGACACTGGTATTTACATGGGTACCCACCCCTGCTCATGGTAGTATGTGGAGCTGCAGAGTGGTGAAGGGCATTGTGTCTGCATAGAATATGTCTATTACTGTCTTGGGAGTGTTTGTATTCACCTTGCAGCAACTGATTTGTTATTTATTATTTCTTAGAATTGGCCAAAAATAATAAGTCATCATTTATAAATTTAGCAAATAATGCTTTCTTTTGATACTATAAACTACCCCCGACTAGTGTTCAGATTATGGGTGCATGAATTGTCTAAGATCCCAAAGTGTTTTTAAAAGGACTCAACATGTGTTTGTCTTGTTTTTGAAAACTATAAATGTATTATAATATACATTTGTTCCTTTAGGCGGAGACCAGTCTCCTAAAGTTGATACACAGGAAGAGACCTTTCTAAGGAAGGATTTCAGATGAATTTTCTAAGCCTTCATAAGTTTTTCTGTAATCACTACCTTTTTTAACCCTTCAGTTTTATTTTGAAATAAAATGAGTAATTAGCGTTTAGAGTCCCTGCCAAATAAAACTTCATGCCTTACTGTGTCTCTAATAAGCAGACAATGACCTGATGGAGGACGTAAAAGCTGTCAGCTCCTCATTAACTTGAATTGCAGGCTTATTATCGTGCAGGCCACTCTTGGATATTTAGAATCTCCAGGTTAAACTCTACTTTTCCTTTTTCTTGTAAGCTTTTTTGTGGGATCAGTATAAAAATCTTATGATGCTTTATCTGTCATTTCCCAGTATGTTTTTCCTTGTTTAAAAAGTACATATTTTCCATGGAAAATTAGAAACTATCAGTACCCCGAAAAGAAGAAAATAATTAACTCTTGGAACCTACCACTCAGAAAACATCAGCAAATTCCAACATGCCATCTTACACAAATCCTGGGTCGTTCAGAGTATTACTGCTTTTACAGGTCTTCATCAGTTTGATAGACAAAATTCATCTTTTTAACATCTACATTTGTGTGTTGAAAATGGAAGTTTTCCATGTGTGTTGGTTATTGTTATTTTCTTTTCTATGAATTGCTTTTCACAGATTTGTGTTATTAGTTTGTGAGAGCTCTACTTGTATGAACTATATTAATACTTTGTTTTGTACATTTGTATGTTCTTCATGTTTTTAACTTCTCCTTTGTTTCCAGAGTTTATTGAGTTGAGCTCTGCTGTCACAGGTACTACTAGTAGGCTAAAATAAGGCCTTTCTGGTTTTGGAAATAGCCCTTCAATTTCAAGGTGATTCTTGATTTGACAAAAATTTTAAGGAATCACCTTTGGACACATTTTCTGATAGAAACTTGCAGGAATTAAAGCTAAGTACTGTTTACAAGAACAACTGTAATGCACAACTCAACATTTGAGTAAAGAAGTTATTTTAGAATTTAAAATTAAAGTGCCTCTGTAGTTTTAACATCTGCTATTGCTATACATGTAATATTGTTTGATGACAACAAAAATCTTGGTCCGAGTCTGTAATGTTTCTTATATTTACGTGTTTATTATAATTTAAAGCAGTTTTTAAAAGATCATTAACTAGAGTACCCAGATTTGTTCATCAAAAATGTCTCCTTAGGGCCGGCACCGTGGCTCACTTGGTTAATCCTCCGCCTGCAGTGCCCGCATCCCAAATGGGTGCGGGGTTCTAGTCCTGGTTGCTCTTCTTCCGGTCTAGCTCCCTGCTGTAGCCCGGGAGGGCAGTGGAGGATGGCCCAAGTTCTTGGCCCTCTGCACCCACATGGGAGACCAGGAGGAAGCACCTGGCTCCTGGCTTTGGATTGTCACAGTGCACCGGCCGTAGCAGCCATCTGGGGAGTGAACCAACGGAAGGAAGACCTTTTTCCTCTGTCTCTCTCTCTCTCACTAACTCTATCTGTCAAATAAAAAAAAAAAAGTCTCCTTTTCCAAATTATCTCCCCTAAGTATACTGCCTTTATGTAATTATTTGATTAGCAGTATCTTTGTAAAGTAAACCACAAATGTAAGTTAGGAGGAATTTTTCACTTTTAGAATTTGTTCCCTTTTGGGTTAACATATTTGATTTTATATAACATAGCATGTAAGCCCTAGGGGAGAGGTTAACTATGGATGTCTTAAGGCTAGTAATATTAAACAAATATAATAAAAGCCATTATTCATAAGGATACAAGAATGCTTCAGAAAGTTCCTGGAAAATGCATATTATTAAAAAACTGTGTGGATTTCAACTTTTTTTGCATCAAAATAAACTTAGTTTTAAATTTCATTTCTCCAAGAACTTTTTAAAGTGCACTCACATGTTCTGCAGTTGGTTATTCTGTTATAACTCTGTTAAAACAGTTTTCAAAGGACTTGTAGAAAACTTATTCAGTAATGGCTATGCAAGGTGAAGATGATGGTTCTCGTGCTGGTTTAAGGAGCAGCAGTTCTGGGTTTCCGATCGTTGTGAAAGCTGTACAGCTGCTCTAGCTACAGGTTTTATAGGGGCAAAGAAGAAAAGATATTTGAAGAAAAGTTTAAATTTATTTAGGCAAAGACAGACTTTTGCTTTGGCAGAGTTCCTAAAATCATGTCTTAAACCACACTCAAGAAAAATAGAGGAAAAAAGTTAAAGGATAAATTAGCCATTGAGTTAATTTAAATTGCAATAGTGCTGAGCAGAGGGGATAGGAGAGTTAGGATGGGTGTCACATTCAGGTTCCTGAATCTAGACCTCTGATTGTATCTCCATAGGCAGTTCCCTGTGCAGTCAAAAGAGGCATGCTGGGCCGGTGCCATGGCTCACTAGGCTAATCCTCCACCTGCGGCGCCGGCACCCCGGGTTCTAGTCCCAGAAGGGGTGCCAGATTCTGTCCCGGTTGCTCTTCTTCCAGTCCAGCTCTCTGCTGTGGCCCAGGAGGGCAGTGGAGGATGGCCCATGTACTTGGGCCCTGCACCTGCATGGGAGACCAGGAGGAAGCACCTGGCTTCTTCCTGGCTTTGGATTGGCCCAGCGCTGGCCATAGTGGCCATTTGGGGGGTGAACCAATGGAAGGAAGACCTTTCTTTCTGTCTCTCTCTCTTACTGTCTAACTCTGCCTGTCCAAAAAAAAAAAAAAAAAAGAGGCACGTTGGCAGGTTTGAAAGAAAGGTGATGTTCCATTGCCAGACCACATCGTACGTTACGCATGACAGATATATTTTTAATATCCCTGTCGTAACTTTGTGCATAGCACAGTTAAATTGCATTGCATTTATCTGTGTTAAGTGTTCATTTGTTAAATTTTAGTAAATTATACCAGAATTTCCTTGTTTTGAGTTTCTTTATTTTTTTATTTTTTGACAGGCAGAGTTAGACAGTGAGAGAGAAACAGAGAAAAAAGGTCTTCCTTCCATTGGTCCACCCCTCAAATAGCTGCTATGGCCGGCGTGCTGCGCCGATCCGAAGCCAGGAGCCAGGTGCTTCTCCTGGTCTCCCACACGGGTGCAGGACCCAAGGACTTGGGCCATCTCCACTGCACTCCTGGGCCACAGCAGAGAGCTGGACTGGAAGAGGAGCAATCGGGACAGAATCCAGCACCCCGACCGGGACTAGAACCCGGGGTGCCGGCACTGCAGGTGGAGGATTAGCCTAGTGAGCCACGGCACCGGTCGAGTTTCTTTATTTTGTGAATAGAATAAGAGCCCATCTGAATGAAAGTACTCACATATGCTTTAACTCATGGGAGACCCTGAACTCTCCAGTCCACTCTGTGCGACTAAAAAGATGTATGACTGTGTTATGTGTCTTTCTAAGGACAGCGTATGCTGGGTGTTGCAGTCTCCCTGACCAGCCCCTCACCTCTGGCAGAACTGAGCTTGATTTGCTCACTGGCCTCAGTATGTGGTATATAACTCAGGGAGAGCACGTAGTGGGTCAGCATGTGGTATATAACTCAGGAGAGCACGTAGTGGGTCAGCATGTGGTATATAACTCAGGGGAGAGCACGTAGTGGGTCAGTATGTGGTATATAACTCAGGAGAGCACGTAGTGGGTCAGTATGTGGTATATAACTCAGGGAGAGCACGTAGTGGGTCAGCATGTGGTATATAACTCAGGGAGAGCACGTAGTGGGTCAGCATGTGGTATATAACTCAGGAGAGCACGTAGTGGGTCAGCATGTGGTATATAACTCAGGAGAGCACGTAGTGGGTCAGCATGTGGTATATAACTCGGGGCAGAGCACACAGTGGGTCAGTATGTGGTATATAACTCGGGGCAGAGCACGTAGTGGGTCAGTATGTGGTATATAACTCAGGAGAGCACGTAGTGGGTCAGCATGTGGTATATAACTCAGGAGAGCATGTAGTGGGTCAGCATGTGGTATATAACTCAGGAGAGCACGTAGTGGGTCAGCATGTGGTATATAACTCAGGAGAGCACGTAGTGGGTCAGCATGTGGTATATAACTCAGGAGAGCACCTAGTGGGTCAGCATGTGGTATATAACTCAGGGAGAGCACGTAGTGGGTCAGTATGTGATATATAACTCAGGAGAGCACGTAGTGGGTCTGTATGTGGTATATAACTCAGGAGAGCACGTAGTGGGTCAGTATGTGGTATATAACTCGGGGCAGAGCATGTAGTGGGTCAGCATGTGGTATATAACGCTGGACAGTGCGCATAGTGGGTCAGTATGTCGTATATAACTCAGGGAGAGCACAGTCGGGTGCTTAGATGTTTACCTAACCCAATATAACCCTTACGTTGTTCTTTTCATTTCTAAGATATTTGAAGTATTCTGTAGAGGAATACACAAAGGATAAAACTCAGAAAATTTTGGTACCAAATTGTTTTGGGAAAAAAAAATGTGGGAATTTTTTGCTTTGTGTTAGAGAATCAATTTTTTTATTAAAATTTTATGTAACATATATTTTCTGTATTTCTAATGTAATGACTTGAAACACATTATGATTTCTACAGCTGCAGTGAGAAGAGGAGTTTGTTACTTTAAACAGAGGCTGAAGAACCTATAAATTAGCAGGCCTAATAGAAAGTGGAGAAGGTAGAGGATGGAGTTGCAGACTCTACAGGAGGCTCTTAAAGTGGAAATTCAGGTTCACCAGGTAAGTTGTGATTGGTTCTCCCACATCTTGTTACTAAGTAATGGCTACGGTTAGTCAACAGGCCCATCTCTGGTTTTCAGCATAGTTTTAATTGTCTGTAAGACAGTTATACGAAAGTCATGTCATTTGCCTTTTGATACTAGTTTTAAGAACTTTGATAAATACTCCTGACTTCCATTCCAGAAAAAAACTGAAAAATTTTTTTTCATATCCCAAAAGTATTGAAAAAAAACTTGTTTTGATTAGTCCAGCTGGAGGCCTTGGAGAGCCACGTGTGTTAAGGAAAGGGGCGTGTTTAAGTCAGCTGTTACGTGCACTGAGGTTTGTGCTCTTAGGTGACTCACCCGCCTTAATTCCAATCTTTAGTGAAGAAAGTCTGATCGACTTCATAGATGTTTAAATTTCAAACTTCACAGTTTTTACAATTTGCCTCAAGTACCTAGACCAATAACCTCTTAAGTATATAGCTATAAAACATATAAATAAAATATATTATAAATATAATCTCTAGTTTCTATAATATTAATAAATATATATTAATATAGCAATATATAAAAATAAATTTAACCATAATCAAAACACTGCCCTAACTCAATTGTTAACATTTATTATGTTAAATAATATATTAAATAATATCATAACATTTATTATGTTAAATAATATTTTAGATCTGGTTTTTAGATATTAGCTGGACATTAGGCACAGGGCCTGCTATTCATACATATAAAGTACTTAGTACTCAAAAGTGATAAATAATGATAAGTTGACTAGTTTTGAATCAGTTGTCAGTGTGGGAGTGGAGAGAAGGGAACTGTTGCTTTAAAGTTTTACTTTTGTTTTTGAGATATACTGAGGCAGGGGAGAGTTAGTGTCAGGGCTGGGTTGGCTGGTGCCAGGAACCAGGAATACAATCTAGATCTCCCACATGGATGGAAGGAACCTAGTTACTTGAGTTATTACCATTGCAGGTGGGTAGGACTCAGGAGCCAGAACTAAGTACTTCAGTATGGGATGCGGGTGTCTTAAGTGTTAGGCTTGGGGCTGGCGCTGTGGCACAGTAGGTTAATCCTCCACCTGTGGCACCGGCATCCCATGTGGGCACCGGTTCTAGTCCTGGCTGCTCCTCTTCCAGTCCAGCTCTCTGCTAAGGCCTGGGAAAGCAGTAGAAGATGGTCCAAGTGCTTGGGCCCCTGCACCCATGTGGGAGACCTGGAGGAAGCTTCTGGCTCCTGGCTTTGGATCAGCTTGGCTCTGGCCAATGTGGCCATCTGGGGAGTCAATCAGCGGATGGAAGACCTTTCCCTCTGTCCCTTCCACTCACTGTCTATAACTCTACCTCTCAAATAAGTAAATAAAATCTTAAAAAAATATTAATGCTAGGCTAAACACCTGCTCTGGGAACTACTTTTAAAGGTGTTTATTAGGGACTGGCACTGTGACTCAATATGTTAAGCCTCCATCTGCTGTGCTGGCATCCCATGTGGGCACTGGTTTGTGTCCCAGCTGCTCCTCTTCTGATCCAGCTCTCTGCTCATGCACCTGGGATAGCAGTAGAAGATGGCCCAAGTCCTTGGGCCCCTGCACCTGTGTGGGAGACCTGGAAGAAGCTCCTGGCTCCTGGCTTCATATTGGCTCAGCTCTGCCATTGCAGAATTGAGAAGTGAACCAGTGGATGGAAGACCTTTCTGTCTCTCTCCCTCTCTGTCTGTAACACTACCTCTCAAATAAATAAACACGGGGTTTTTTTGGAAGGTGTTAAGGCTTTTGGTACAGTGGGGAAGTTGCAGCTTGGGATGTCCTGATCTCAGAGTTCCTGAGTTGAAGTCCCTGTTCTGCTCTGGTCCAGCTTCCTGCTGATGCACACCCTGGAAGGCAGCGGGTGACGGATCAGGTAACTGGGTCCCTGCCACTCACATGGGAGCCCGGTTTGAGTTCTCTCTCCTTTTCAAATAAAATGAAAAGTAAATTATAACTAAAGGTGGTTGTTCTTGGGTCTAGTTTGCCTTGTTTTATCTGAATAGTCTAATGTAAAATTCATTTCTACAGTTAATGGGCAAATATCTTGGATTTTGATAACTACTAGATTTACACATTGTCCAAAATCAGTGTAGATAAAAACTTATAGGAAAGCCTCAAAGACACTTACATATTTTAAAAACTATTATCTTATTTATTTGATAGGCAGAGAGAGAGAGAAAGAGAAAGGCATCTCCTATCCAACAGTTTATTACCTAGATGGTTGGAATAGCCAGGGCTGCTCCAGGCCAAAGCTGAACTCAGTCTGGGTTTCCATGTAGGTGGCAGAGACCCCTGTACTTGTGCCATCAACTGCTGGCTCCCAGGGGTGCACGTTAGCAGAAAGCTGGGATCAGAAGTAGAGCTGGGGGCCGGCGCCGTGGCTCAATAGGGTAATCCTCTACCTGTGGCACTGGCACCCTGGGTTCTAGTCCCAGTCGGGGTGCCAGATTCTGTCCCGGTTGCTCCTCTTCCAGTCCAGCTGTCTGCTGTGGCCCGAGAGTGCAGTGGAGGATGGCCCAAGTCTTTGGACCCTGCACCCGTATGGGAGACCAGGAGAAGCACCTGGCTCCTGGCTTCGGATAAGCGCGGTGTGCCGGCCGCAGTGCGCCAGCCACAGCGGCCATTGTGGGGTGAACCAACGGAAAAGGAAGACCTTTCTCTCTGTCTCTCTCACTGTCCACTCTGCCTGTCAAAAAAAAAAAAAGTGGAGCTGGGTCTCAAACCCAGGTGCTCTGATATGGAGCAGGGGTGTCCTAGGCAGTGTCCTTTTTTTTTTTTTTTGGACAGGCAGAGTTAGACAGAGAGAGAAAGGTCTTCCTTCCGTTGGTTCACCCCCAAAATGGCCGCTATGGCTGGCGCTGCGCCAATCCAAAGCCAGGAGCCAGGTGCTTCTCCTGGTCTCCCATGCGGGTGCAGGGCCCAAGCACTTGGGCCATCCTCCACTGCCCTCCTGGGCCACAGCAGAGAGCTGGACTGGAAGAGGAGCAACAGGGACAGAATCTGGTGCCTAAACTGGTACTAGAACCCGGGGTGCCGGCGCCACAGGCAGAGGATTAGCCTAGTGAGCCGCGGCGCCGGCCTAGGCAATGTCTTAATCACTGTGCATGCCCACATGCCTGCTAAGTTTGTTTTCAAGAAATTTGCCTTTTTTTTTTTTTTGACAGGCAGAGTGGACAGTGAGAGAGAGAGACAGAGAGAAAGGTCTTCCCCAATGGCCGCTGTGGCCAGTGCGCTGTGGCCGGCGCACTGCGCTGATCCAAAGCCAGGAGCCAGGTGCTTCTCCTGGTCTCCCATGCGGGTGCAGGGCCCAAGGACTTGGGCCATCCTCCACTGCCCTCCCGGGCCACAGCAGAGATCTGGCCTGGAAGAGGAGCAACTGGGACAGAATCTGGCGCCCAAATCGGGACTAGACTCCGGGGTGCTGGCGCTGCAGGCGGAGGATAAGAAATTTACTTCTAATACTATTTTTCCATTAACTTTTTTTTCAATTTGGGAAGCAGAGATCAGAGACCACGAGCTCTCATTTACTGATTCACCCCCTAAAAATCCACAGCAGCCATTGGTGGAACATGGCTGAAAGGAGGAGGCTTTGTACATCCAGGTCTCAGCTGTGTGGGTGGCAAGAATGCAGTCGCTTGAGTCATCAACACTGGCTCCCTGTCTGCATTAACAGGAGGCCAGAGTCAGGAGCTGAGGCCAGCAGTGAACCCAGGCACTGTGGTAAAGGAGATAGCCATCTTAACCTCTAGGTTATATAATTTTTACATTAAATTTTCTGTATTTTCAGAAATCCCTGCTGTTGCTTTGGATCTTGTTAACTTATGTTCAGCAGCAGAGTTTGGTGGAAAGGTGGGCTTATTTTAGTGTCTAATAATTTATACATATCAGATTTTATTTGGCCTGTCTTCTGATTCTAATTGAAAAGAATAAATTTGTTCATGGGACTGGCGCTGAGGTGCAGTGGGTTAACGCCCTGGCCTGAAGCACCAGCATCCCATATGGGCGCCGGTTCTAGTCTTGGCTGCTCCTCCCTTCCAGTCCAGCTCTCTGCTATGGCCTGGGAAAGCAGAAGATGGCCTGAGTCCGTTAGCCCCTATACCCATATGGGAGACCAGAAGAAGCTCCTGGCTCTTGGCTTCGGATCAGCGCAGCTCCGGCCGTTGCAGCTGATTGGGGAGTGAACCAGCGGATGGAAGACCTCTCTCTCTGTCTCTACCTCTCTCTGTAACTCTGTCTTTCAAATAAATAAAGTAAATCTTGGGCCACCTTCTACTGCTTTCCCAGGCCATAGCAGAGAGCTCGATGGGAAGAGGAGCAGCTGGGACTAGAACCGGCGCCCATATGGGATGCCAGTGCTTCAGGCCAGGGCTTTAACTCGCTGTGTCACAGTGCTGCCCCCCCCCCCCAAAAAAATTTGTTCACAAAAAGAATCCATGGAGCTGGCATTGTGGGATAGCAGTAAACCTTCCCCCTATAGTGCTGGCATCCCATATGGATGCTGGTTCCTGTCCCAGCTCCTCTACTTTCTTTCCTTTTCCTTTTCCTTTTCCTTTTCCTTTTCCTTCCTTCCTTCCTTCCTTCCTTCCTTCCTTCCTTCCTTCCTTTCTTTCTTTCTTTCTTTCTTGATTTATTTATTTATTTATTTATTTATTTATTTATTTTATTTGAGAGAGTTACAGAGAGAGGTAGAGACAGAGAGGATTACCATCCACTGGTTCATTCCCCAGATGACTGCAATGGCCAGAGCTGAGCCGATCCACAGCCAGGAGCCAGGAGCTTCTCCCATGCAGGTGCAGGAGCCCAAGGACTTGGGCCATCTTCTGCTTTCCCAGGCCATAGCAGAGAGCTGGATTGGAAGTGAAGCAGCCGGGACTTGAACCAGTGCCCATATGGGATGCCGGCGCTGAAGGCCATGGCTTTAACCCACTGCGCCACAGCACCATCCCCCGGCTGTTCCACTTTTGATCCAGCTCCCTGCTAAT